TATGCTGAAACTCTTCTGTTGCCCTTTGCGTGACGGACTGTATCGTCCACGGTCAGCACCGCAGTCAAAGCTTCCGGAAGTATGCAAATCTCAATGCACACAACCATCCAAGGCTCATATGAAATCCATGGGTCCGTCAAGATTCGCGAACATGCAGCCCGAATCGACCAACCCCTGGCCCCTGGCTTTCTCTGCCGCACTGGGCTTGAAGTTCTGTAGCCATTGTCGTGAGTCTACTAGTAGCAAAGCGGTGCATGGGAGCCAGAGCCCACCCTAGCATGATTTGATGAGTTTTCTAGGGCTTGGAAGCAAGTCCGCAGCGGTCACTTCACTTGATACCCCGGAGCCTCGTCCCGTCTAGCTGCAGCCATCTCCATGTTGCAGCAGCCATGGTGGATACCAAGGCCGAGCAGCCAGTTCCGAGCTTTAGCTGTGGGATGGGGAGGCCGTCAGATCGACTTTTTCGAGTTGGAAGCTGTGCCTATGGCCCAAGAAATAGGACTTTTTGAGCTGTGTATGTAGCAGTGCAGTAATAGTTTCACTGCCAGCGAAGGCATTCCAGATCGGCGTAGTCGGTCAACCAAAGAAAAACTAAGGCAAAAGGCTGAGATGTCCACCCAAAAGCCACAGGTGCAACCGCACGTTTGTTTTTTGGCGAAAGCATTTCAAGTCCACTTGTCCATTTCCTGCCGTCTCATCGGCCATGCGAAAGCGCCGAAGGCCTTACAGTCTTAGACCAGGCATGCACAGGCTCTGCTTCTCCTTTGTGATGGTGCGGGCGATGGTTGTTACATATTTGCGGTGCGGGTGGTGGAGGGACAAGGAGAGCAGGCTAACAGGCAACAAAATCGAAACGCCACGATTTAGTTTGGCACGGGTTCCATGCTCCCGCAAGATGGCCCGAAATGGCCGGGAAACTCCAGCTCTCTGGCTGCACGACGTGACAAAAAAATCCGGATGCGAAGGGCTTTTGGCAATGTGACCAGGGCACGACGGTCGCCACGTACGCAGGCATGGCAAGCAATTTCCACTGATTGCGGTGCAAGTCGCAAAATGGCAGCAGATTCATATGTGCTTCAGGCACGAAACGCGATGAAACTCTGAAAAGTCTTGTATGGGTGTTTGGACGGCGACGGTCTGTGACACATCCAGACAAATTTAAGAAGCAGCCAAGCCCAACCAGGGCTCACGATTCTCAGATATTTCCGGATCACAGCACCAATGTTGTCTTGTTCCTAGGGCTCAGGGCTGCAGACCGTTGATCGCAACAGCTTGGAGAGTCTGCAAGAGTAGTTTAGAAGGTCTGGCCACTCAAGGCCTGCACAGCCCTCTTGACTATCAGCATCTTCTGTGCTTCGGATGCTGCCTGATTGTGGACGTCCCTCCTTCAGGCCTCTGTCTGCACAAGCCCAAGGCGAGCTGGACAAGGACAGGGTCTCCTCGTCGTCCTGTGGCTTGCAGTCTGAGCCCCTCATCGCCTCGAAGGTGGCCATGCGACGTCAAAGAAATGGTTGCAGATCAGAGGCTCTTGGGCTTTCGGAAGTGCATATTCTGCCCGTCTGAAGCATGCGAGCCTGAGGTGCAGTGCGTGCAGCCGGCATCGCTCGCCACGCCGGCGGCGTTGGCGCCAGGGAAGTTGGGGACAAGGCATGACGTGTCATTCATAGATACTCATAGTATGACAGGATCGACAAAGTGTCGGTAACGGCATCGTTGCCTCACATGGCTACAAACCAAAATGTTGCGGGCCACGGTCTTGCCCGACGTATTGGAACATATTTCGCTGGCAAACTTGCAGGACTTGCAAAAGTCTATCACCAGTCCGCGTTTCGAGTGGCCTGCAAGCTTAACCGAGGCTGGATCACGGTTTCGGTCCAAGGTTTCTCTTTTTGGTGCGGGATGCGTCTACGTCGTTGACTGCAAACGTCGTTTTCCAGACTGCACGCTAAAACCAATCATGTGGCACCTGCATCTCGGTAGGCAATGCAGCAAGTTTTACAAGGCTGCATCTCGCAGCGACTCAGACAAGCACACAGTGCAAATACAGATGTGGACTCTGTTGCTGCAGTCTTGCAAGACCAGCCTATATATATATATGTATATTGATTGATTGATTGATTGATTTATTGATTGCAACATCTGTTGGCACGAAACCAGTACAGTGCAGGCCGTATTGATGATTCGGATGGTAATGGCTGTTTATCATTAGCGTGTTTGTGAGGTGGGGGTTGCGTCACAGATCGATTGATGAGGCAAGGAGGTTTCGTTTCTTTGGTGCCAGTGTCCAGTGTCTGATGGCTTGTGTCTCTCACGCGAACGAACTTCTGTCAATGGTCTTGTATGTTAGCTTTGTCTACCTGTTGCCTTCAGTCTCCGTCATCTTCCAGAGGGGCATCTCCGAACACCGACGCGGAGGAGTTGTGGGGCCCTGTGATCCGTGAGTGCTCTACCATCCTGCCGCACGGACTGCACTTTGTTTGTGTTTGTTTTTTTGGGCGTTTGCTTGATTGTTAGGTTGCGGCTTTCACTGCTGAGTGGGAAAGTTGCACTCTTAGCGTCCAGCCGCCTTTGGAGACCTTTGTTTTCCAGCATGGGTGAGCATTTCGATGGCCGTTTGGCTTGGTCATGAGAAGCTGCTTAGTCCAATGAGTGCTATCATTTTGCAGTAGCAGTGACAAGCAGTGGCCAGCTCCTTGCATCCAATCAAATCCCGAACCTCGAATGGGCCTGCACTGTCTGTCGGTGCCGGAATATGGACTCAGTTCTGCTTGCTGACCAGGTGGGCTTATGTAAGCTGACGCATGAGATCAGGAAGGGTCTTCTCACGCCTTTGATTGGGACCTCTGTGGCAGGGCTTTCGGATCGCACGGCTGCATGGAGCGGCCTTCCTGGATGCACCAGCACTCAGCAGTTTGTTGGCTGCCTCGACCGAGTCTTGCTCAGAAAACATGGCTGCAGTCTGTGGTTGTGAGTACAAATACATCTCTGTCGGTCTGTCTGTCTCTCTGTCTGTCTGGCTGTACGTATGTTTTGTCTCTGGGTGTCCGGCGTCGCTCCGTTTCGCTGTGCGACCTACTGCCAGTACAAATCCGATTTCAGCAAGCATGCAACTTCGATTGCTAGCGAAACTATTAGAACATTTTGAAAGAGCTTGTCTTGAACAGATGCATGTCAGGCAGCCCAGAAAAATGCATGTAACAATGCTGCTGGCGGTGCAAACGCTGTTCCCAGTCGGGACAAAGTTTAAAACAGCAGCATGGCGCCACCACTTAGAGATCATGCCTTGCAACAGTTTAAGCGGTCGCAGGTTTGACACAGAGCCAGCGGCGACCACAAGTCAGATGTACCGATATACCGGACACCGGTCCATTCAGCAGGTCAGGATGCCCACAGAAGCACTGATGGCAGGCGACAACGGACGTATACACCCGATTCAAGCAAACCATTCGCAGGGGACGGATGAGACTTTCAGGTTTATTTGGGATTCATAGGTCATAGGAATTTAAGGGCTTAAGGTTGGGAGTTTGGTGTTTGGGCCTTATGGTTTGGGTTCGGGATGTATGGTTAGGGGGACGGTTGCCGGTCTGGGGTCCAGCTTTCGGGGCTTAGCTGGCATAGGGTAGACGTTAGGGCTGAAGGCTTGGTTTTTGGGGTTTGCTTTGCTTTGGTTTGGGTTGCGGTTAGGGCTTGTGGTTTCGAGTAGTTGTTAGGGCTTCGGGCTTCGGCGGTTTCGGGTTGAGTGCTGAGTGTTTGAGTTCTTAAGATAAGACTTTGAATATGTGTTTTTGGGCGCTTGGTTTTGAGTTTATGGTTTATGGTTGGGTTTCGGGTGTGCTGACTTGACCGTTAGAAACCAGTGCCGAACATTGCCTCGTCCTCTCAAGTTTCGTAACAGCTACAGCATTTTCATGGGTCTTGAGCTGCTCAGCTCCGTGCTCATGAATCCTGGCCTGAGCAGTGTCATACGTGCACTTAAAGTGCACAAAGACAAATGCTGCGGCTGCCGCAAGCCCAGTGACGCTCTCGAGAAAGCTCTGTGAGAGGACTGAAAAAGCTCAGGTGCTCCGTGCTCAGCGCCAAGCCTCGAAGCCACAACCAATAAACACACAACACTTACTCTAGACCTCAAACCTTCAAGCCACCTTGTTAAACTCTGTGTTTCTCCACGTGTGCGAAGTACTGCAAATACCAGTGAATTGGCTACTCTGTTGCAAATACAGCGTGAAAAGGCAACGTTTTCCTGATGTGCTGAAGTGCTTCTCCGCACTTGCACGCGACAAAACCTCGAGTTTTTGCATGTTTTCTTTCAGGCAACAGCACACGAAACCCATAACTGTGAACCGAAACACCACATAAAACCACGACTATCGGGATTCCTTGTTTCTGTCGAGGTGTACGAAGTACTGTAAATACCAATGAATTCGGTGCCCTCTTGCGAATACACCATGGAACGCAGGGGTTTCGTCATGTTTTCCAATCTTACTGCGCACTCACAGAAGACAAAACCTCGTGTTTTCGCATGCTTTCGTTGTTCGACATCTTCGTGCGCGTACCTCCCAGCTATGAAAACAACATGTTCCGAGCAGCATAGCTATGTTCCGTAAGTGCAAAGTCAGTGGTATTTGCGGTACTTTCGAGCTCTTGCAACAAGTTCCGGCAGCAGCGAGCAGTCTCCAGGTCTTGATGACCACTTCTGTTTCAAGTCGCTCCCAGAGGATGCTTTCGACGAGTTTCAAGCAGCAAAGCTTTGGCGCTTGGCGTGCACGTTGTGCAAGCACCGGTCCATGTCTATGGCTCAGTGGAGATGGTTGCCGCCTTTTCAATTCATCGGCCTGCTGGCTAATGAAGAAGCCAAAAGAAAAGCAGCCTTGCAGATGCAGGAGAAGAACTGGACCACCTTGCTCGAATGCGAGAAGCTGCAGTTCACAAACCCCGAATTGCAGCAAGTGCTCGTGCAGGTACCATGGTTGCGAGATGATGTGTGCTGAGACGTCCTGACCATGTTGGCCCAGCATGACTTCAAGTGCATTTCTGCGCTGGCCCTGAGCGTGGTGCGTGCCATTTTCGATGGGCCGAACCACACCGTGCATGTCGAGAACATGTTTCAGCGTCTGAAAGATTTCAGCCGCGATGTGAACAACGGCAATGAATGTGTTCAATCGGACCTCCTGAAAGACTTCCAGCTGCCAGAGGTCCAACCCATCGAGGCGGCAGCAGGTGCTCACACAGACAGGCTTCCATAAGAGACTTGGAATGCAATGTCTTCTGAATGCAGTTTGAAGGACAAGGTGCTGCCGGAGAGCATCCGTAAGAGCGGCGCTGATTACCCATCCCCAAGTGCTGGTGGATTGCTGCGAACGAAATCAAATCGCGGACATTCCTCTTGCTTGGCATGCCTTGCTCATGCCAGAGGACCACATTGTGAGAAAGCGGTCCAACTCACAGTTTCTCATCGTCCTCAGGAGTTCACCTCAAGCTGTGTTGCTTTGGTCGGCGAAGAAGGCAAACGGCAAGGGCGTCTTCGTCTTCTTGCCCGACGTTGCTGCAGGGAGCAGGGCCACATGGGAGCCTGTGTGCAGTGAGGAAGATTGGGAAGTTTTGCCAACTGCGCCTTTGCCGCCCCATGTTGTCCGAGCATGCTTTCAATTGGTCTGCTTGGTGTCGTCTCCATCAAGTCTGGTCCGGCGATGTCTCTTTGGGAGGCGGCAGCGAGAGAGGGATTCAGCGGCGTCACAAGCGACTACTTGTCAAATATGATTGCGCGCTTGCAAGTCTTTCAGCAGATGCCAGCTGATCGCCCACGCAGCATTTTGGCAAAGATCGAAGCCTTGATCAAACACATTCTTCCGCACTTTACAACATGAAGTTGCGGCCATCATCTTGCAGAGAGCCGTTTTGCGCAAGACGACATCCCGCAGTTTATTGATTCCAGGTGAGAATTCGGAGCTCACGGCCGCAGTTTTGGACGGGTCTGATGCTGCCGAGGTTTCCAAGTTCAAGAGCGACCTGAGATGGCTGAAAGGAAAGCAATACTTGGACGAGACGGAGTTTCAGATGCACATGGGCCGCGTTGCTCCTCGCAGCAAAGACGGAAGAGCCGCCTGCTAAGAAGCCCGGAAAGGCCCCTAGCAAACTCGAGTGGAGTTGGCAGGAGAAGGCCCCCAAGCAGCACATTCCTGCAGGTTCCACCATTACGCAAGTCGTCAACCAATATGGGACCTTGTGGACAGTTCGCTATCCCAGGGCAGGCGAAGGACAGCAGAAGACGTGCAGCCGTAGCTATGGTGACATTCGAACTTGCGATCAGGCAGCACACTTAGTTTCTCAATGGCTTTGGAGGACTCACGAAGTTAACGGGGGCGAAGCCTGCCCGTACAGCTACTCTGAAATTCTCGGCTAGCTCGTTCTGCGAAGCACGCTCTACTTCGAGCAGCAATCCTACACACTATATGTTATGTCAAGATGTTGATAGGATTCATGTTTTTTGGCAACAAGATCTCACAAGGACTTTGTTGCAGGCACTTGCTGCCGGTATCTGCCGGTCAAGTGTTGTTGTATGCACTCAACAGTAAACTTGCCATCATGCATGCTTTTCTTTTCGGGTGTAGCAGAGATAGTCTAAGCAGTTAGTTTGGATGCTGAACTCTGCAGCTCCCACCGGCTTTTCAGGACTGTTTCGTTGTAGTCACAGTTGTAGTCACAGGAAGCCTCAGTAGTTTAAGCAACCAGAACGAGTTTTCGTGTGACACAGCTTCTGCCTCAAAGGTTTGAGAGTGCAGTCCTAAGGCCGCAGTCGCATCTAGCAGGCATCCGAGCTCACCAGGCCTCACCAGCATATTTAGCAGGTCCTGTGGCAAACGTTCCTTCGAGACCCCTTTTAACCGGCCCCAGCAACGTCTCTCCAAATACAGTGTCACCACGACGTGCAAGGCAGCATACGTCAACATACGTACATGCCTTGTTTCACAAAAATAGCAGCACGCCGTTGCTTCTACCACCCGAAACACTATCCCAAGAGTACGTCAGCATGTGCATGTGCACACCGTCCCGAGCCTCAAGATGCTCATGCGGCATGCGCCACAGAAATATTACACATTGGCAATTGATTCAACTTTCGTTGTTTGCACCTTGATGCGTTTACGTACGGAAAGCGCCATCTATCACACCGCGGCAAGTCAAAACACAGTGAGTGCCAGCCAGTGCGCCCCAACAAAGGGCTCTGTGTGTGTGAGAGCGGTCCTCGGTCATGGACTCAGGGAGGTCACTCTCCAACATTCGCATTGAGACTTTGTCATCTTTGTCATGACGCATTCGGTCGGCTGTTCGATGATTAGGGAGTGGGACCGCGCTCAAAGAGGCTACCACAGTCATGGGATACCGAGTCTGATCAGCTCGGCGTACTTGCACAGTGATGCCTGTGACACAACAGGTATTTTCACTCTACATTGTGCATATAGGCTTGAACTTTCGGTCCTTCGGTTCGCTGAGGGTTTCCACATGCGCACATGCACAGTTACCTCAAGCTGAGCTGGTTTTGTGAACAACCATCCAGCAATACAGCATTTCATATAGCACCTCTGCAGTAGCTAAATCCAACCAAGAGTACGCTCAACTTGTCGAGAGTGTGTGTCTTTGAGTGCGTGTGCGTGTACTTGTGCCAATGTGGTTTTTGCTGTTTCATAGAGTTCCAGAGCTGTGCTATAAGGCAACAAACTCGTGTGTTTGAAACGCTCAGGAACTTCTTGCGGCAACCGCGGGTGCGTTCCGCTCAGCGTTGATCTGTCTCATCCAGAAAAGAGATCCCGATTTGGACAAGGACGGGATGATACGGCATGCAAACGAGGATCACAGGTTCAGCGACTGCTTGTCAACGCCAACAGGCAGTTTGCGCTCTTGCAAGTGCTCGTGGCGATGCATGTTCCATACGTGCTGTCGCCACGGTCCTGCCCACAGCCCGATAGTACAGCGTTGTTTTCGATTTGCGGCAAGTGATCTAGGCTTTGGCCGCGCCACGCTCTGATGCACACCACACAAGGCCACGGACATCTTCGCAAACTTTGCACGTTCGGCGTGGATCGCTTCGTCTTGGAAGCTTTCTTGTGTTGGTTTCGGTGCAGGCGGGTCAGCCAGGCGCTGCTCAAGATGGCTGGCAAAGGAGATGTTGTTGCAATCGAGGTCCGGTGCTAAGGCGCTGTGCGCCGAACTTTGATGGACGGAATGAAACTTGCTGGTTCGCCTACTCAGGCCGTGAGTGACTGCTTGAAGCACGAGTCCAGCGTGGTTCGGGAGCATGCCGTCATTACGCTCAAGGAATTGTCCAGGCTGGCCGAAGACAGCAGGGTGGCCAGCTATTAAACAGTACCTGTCTGCTGGATTTTAAAAAAGGTGAGCAAAGTAGATTTAGGATGCTGTTGCACTTGTGGAGGGAGACTCGGTTTTGTTTTGCTATCTCCACCTGGCAGTCCCGGAGATGCGGCAGTGCTTCCGAAACTGGTGGCGGCTTTGGCGGACGAAGGGCTGAGGGTCCGCATGGCTGCTGCAGATGCTCTGTCCAAGATTGTTTCTTGGTCAAATTCGCAAAGCGATGGCACGCCTCAGTCAAGCTGGGGCCAGTCAGTGGTACACTGGTCTTGAGATTGTTTTGGGAACAAGTAGAATAGCAGATTAACGTCTTCTGCATGGCTGTTGAGAAAGGAAGGAAGGGAGGTAAGAAAGAAGAAAGGAAGGAAGGAGGGAAGTAAACAGAAGACTGAGGAATGGACGACAGGATGCAAAAACAAGACTGTGCAAGCGTTTCCAAGAGCAATCTGGGGGTTCTATCCCACTGTTGCGGTTACACTTTGAAACGTCGGCTGCCCGCCCCTGCCAGATAAATTGGGATCGAAGATGCAGATGTGCTCCCGCGTTTCAACGGCCACAGCCCGCTCAGAAAACCAGGTGCTCGCACACACGCACACACACCAGGAAATCAGAGCATTGAAAGAGCAACCACCCCTGTTAGCCACATTCGCAAGGCACATTGCAGTTGAAGTCGCAGTAGCAGTAGCGGTAGCAGTAGTGGGTTTGGTGGGTGATGGGTCGTGGGTCGGTGTTGGCGACAGTTGGTGGGTGATGGGCGGCGGGTGGTGGGTGATGGGTGGTGAGTGGCGGTGATGGTGGATTGTGGGTTGTAGTGGGCGCCTCAGCAGAGGAGGAGAAGTAGAAGTAGAAGTAATTAGAAGTAGAAGTAGAAGTCTTCGTCGTCCTCGTCTCGTAGTTGTTGTGGTTGTAATAGTAATAGGAGGAGGACAGCAGCCGCAGCAGCCGCATCAGAACAATAGTGCCAGTACGAACAGCAGCTGTGTCTTCCACACGTCATGGACAAGCAACGTAGTCATGCACCTGCGCTTGGCATGTATTCACGATCATATTATCGTACTGATCGTCAATTAAGCGCATGTAGTAGCCAGTCAGAGCAATTAGCGATTTTCTCAGGGTGGCTGTGCTCCTTCCATTCTGTGTATCTGGAGCCCAATTCCTAACATCAACCCCTAAGCCGGCAAGGGTCCCATCGTAAGGTCTGCACGGCCTGCGCAGTACGATTCATCGTTTTGGGCGGCCTTGTCGAATTTCAATGAACTTTACATGTCGTATGTCCGCGGTAGAACGGTCCCTGATCGCGCAGGTTTCTTACTTCTGTCAGACATGCGAACCGCTTCTGGACCCTCGCGACGTGACTTTGTTTGTAGATGCTTTTTGCGAAGGACCGCCGAGGAGCATTGTTCACGAATAGATGCACCGAAGGTTCTATCTGCAGTGTGGGCAGTCTCCTAGTTATGACCCTTCGTGAGTTTGGATACATGGCAAACCCCGAGCCCAAACCTTACATCCTAAACCTGGCCAGCCCTAGCGCTTGGGATTCTCCACTTGTGCGCAGTTGCCGGAGATGCTGCGCCCCGCACCCGGCAGCATGTCGAACATGTTCTTGAAGGCGGGGTGCTACCAAGTGCCACGAAACCCCAAAGGTTGAGAGTTCAGGGTACAGTAAGGTGATGTGCTGTTCGTCTCAGTCGGCAGGGGCAGCTCTGTGTCAAAGGCAACATCCAGTCCTGCAATGCACAGCACGGAATGCATCAACACCAACGCTCCTGAATTGGACCCTTTTGACAATCTTGGTCCGTGTGCTTCGCATGAAATTCCGAACGATCCCAAAGTGAAAGAGTATTTTCCCAAGGCGAGCTCCATGCAAGCACAGCGAACTAGATTACAACGTAGATTACCATAATACGGTAAACCATATTATTCACTACAGACCCTTCTTGTTATGGCAACGTAACCATACGTCGCTCCAAGCTAAAACCCTTGGCTTGTGAATCCTTCCGCTTGTGGGCTAGGGTGTTTTGGAGTTTGACACGAACATGACCGATGGTCACCGCACGTCTTCCCGTGACCAGAACTTCAGCGAAACTTTGGAAAAATTCGTAGCATCGAAGAGCTGCAGCCCTAAACCCTAAACCCCATGCAGCTCTGCCACCAGGTTTACAAAGACTTCCACAGCGACATCTTGCAACTCCAGCAGAGGCTTCCTGCAGGACTCTGGGTTTTTGCCGAGTTCCGATACTGCAGTATCGGGAACGAGCGAATTGCATCAACCCATCCGCGGCATTGCAGAAGATGGTGTTCCTAAAGTGTCGGACGTCCGGAAGTTCTGCCATTGCAGAGATCAGATGGTCGACGCATGTGCAGCTGTTTGGCTTTAAGCCTGCCTGATTGCATCCGCCTGCTGACGTGCTATAAACCATGTCAGACGGAGTCCATAGTCCAGTGCGAAATGCACTATACGCATGGTACATCTGCCAGTATCTCCTCTCTGACTCTTTTCGTGGAGACGGCCCGAGACCCTAGCAGAACACTGTGCGTATATACAATAGAAGAGACATGTATGTATGTATGTATGTATGTATGTATGTATGTATATATATATATACATACATATGTATATACATACATACGCAGACATGCATGTATTGGTCGGTTCGTCCAGTACATACATATGTATATATATATGTCTCTATTTATATATAGGAAGTTTTAGATAGCTTGTAGCCCTTTCAATAAAGCTGTTCCTGAGTTTTGTGTCCAACATGGCGGGAGCAAGCGGGATGCGGAAGCGGGCCCTCAAGCGGCCCGAGAAGTCGCTCAGGTGTGCTCGAGAGGGGGGGGGGCGCTCCGGAAAGGGTTTCGTCTAATACAGTTGTATATACATATAACTTTAATATATAACTTTAACTATATTTGCATATATATATATACATAGGTAACTTTAACAAGCTATATACAACTTTAACAAGTTCTATTCAGTTATGAGTTTGGTAGGGTGTGCAGGGTTTCGGGCAGCCCGGAAGCAAAGATCGATCCATGGGATGATACGGTTTAGGATGTTTAGGGTTTTACAATTTTAGGTTTCGGGGACTCAAGGCAAGGTGAGGGGTATTTGGGGCGTATGGGCTTTTAGTGGTAGTTTAGGTCTTGTGGTTTAGGGTTTTGTGATTTTGGGTCTTGGACACTGGATGCGGGGAAGACGATCATGTCGCGCATAATTCGCCTGAGGCCCGAACTCCAAATCTGAACCCTATAATCTCCAAGCCCTATAGATGCTAAACCCCAAATTCCCAAATCTGAGCCCTATAAACCCTAAACTCTAAATCCACATTCTGAGACCCAAAGCCTCAAAACGCGGGGATTCCAAGCTTCGTTGAGTCGACTCGGAGACTTCGGCAGGCAGCCGCAACCCGAGAGCTATGGAGAAGCACCTCCAGGCCCCGAGCTGCTCTGGGGGTTCTAGAACTACAATCACCCTAAGGCCCTATAGGGGTCCATGTTCCCAAATAGTATATATATATATCCATCTATATATATATATATCCATCTATATATATATATACATATATATACTTTGGCCTTATAAAGTATCTTCCCTATATAGGTACTTTGGGGCCAAAGTATATACTATTTGGGCACATGGACCCTTAGGGTAAGTTATGCAACAGGTTATATAGAAGCTATATAGTATAGTTCTTTCTGAAGAGCAATAAGGCATCTGAGTCAGTGATAAGTTTGGGATCTCTGAGATGTTTAGTGCTCGCCGATCTCGGATCGAGATGACGAGTGGATCATGCAGTGGCGCTGAAGCCTCCCACACCCCCCACAGACTTCGGCCGCTTTTGGCGCTCAGTCCTTCACTGAATCGCCAGCATGGCAAAGGTGCCTCCCTCATCGGGGTGGATGCGCAATCTCCCGCAGGCCAAGAGCCTGACTTGAAGCCCGAAGCCTATGCTACCCCGCAATGCTTGGACTGACTCCTTGAAACCATTCAGTTGACAGATCCCTTACCAAATTTGCAGTGTTGCTCCTCTGGTTCTGGAAGTTCCCAACATGCAGGCTGTCTGGCAGGTTTGGGGACTGATACGCTTGGGCCTTCTTGCAGACCTCCCACTTGGCTCCCTTCATCCCCCCTCCCTTTTGATGCACGACTCTGGAGGGCCAAGGAGTTGGTTCTTAGTTGTTCTTAAAGTATCGAACGTCATATGAGTAGTAGGAAAGTGGCTCCAGGCTCGCAGGGCAGCATGGTCGAGGCTGCCATCAAGGATGTGATGGAGGTTGGGAGTGGAATGGCAGACATTTCTATATCCATTTCAGTTGTCATCTTTCTCTGTCCGCCTCGACTCGGGAAATAAATAGAATTAATCATAAACATACATACGTGCAGACAGGCAGGCAGGCAGACAGGCACACGGAGAGACGCACAGATGGACACGACGACACACACATACACACACACAGACACTCACACTCACACTCACAC